TAACAGCTTTAACTTGTCAATGCTGGCAAGCGTGATAATGCACGACTAGCTGTGCATTAAACAATTTTAATGCACTCCACGGAGGCTTCGTGTCGGGTGGTTCTTGGCCTCCATATTGAGCATTACAATCATTATATATATATATATATATATATATATATATATATATATATATATATATATATATATATATATATATAGTATATTTAATACTTTATAGTAGTAAAGTATTAAAATATGCAAATAATATATTGCATCAATTATATATAATATATATGGTGTATTGTAAGGATCCAGATCCATCCAATGGAAACATAACCCTTTCAAGTATATGATTGGATGAGATTAAATTGCTTCTCAGACTACACATATTGACTGCTTGCAACAAAGTGAATGAGTATTGAATCATACGGGTGAGTTTTGGTCTGACTGCATTACGTCTGGACTGTAAAACTCTATTTGCGCTATTCAGCTTTGACAGAAACATCATCTACTTCCCCTGAAGGCTGAATAAATATGACGGCCAGCATTTATATTTGGCTTTTCAGTTGTTTTGAAGGGGTCATATGATGTTGCTAAAAAGAACATTATTTTGTGTATTTGGTGTAATGAAATGTGTTTATGCGGTTTAAGGTTAAAAAAACACATTATTTTCCACATACTGTACATTATTGTTTCCCCTCTATGCCCTGCCTTTCTGAAATGCGTAGATTTTTACAAAGCTCATCGGTCTGAAAAGCGTGGTGTGCTCTGATTGGACAGCTATCCAGTGCGTTGTGATTGGCCGAATACCTCAAGCATGTGACGGAAATGCACTACAGCGAGTTTTAGGAGGGCGTGGTTGACTTAACTTTTATAAAGAATATCTCTTTGGATTTGAGACTTTATTCTTTGCAACTTTACAGATCTTCTTTATGCACCAAGAGCTTGTAACACTTCACTTTTCTTTAAGAGAAAGGAAAAATGGAAATCACATCATATGACCCCTTTAATGCACTGAGTGACCTCCCAATCCCCATTTGCAGCAGTTGTGACCCCTTGACTCATTGAGTATCCTCCACACTCATTTGTTGATCTAAGCTGATTTGTGGTTTAGACCATGGACCTTTCACTCTGAAATGTAGAAACTGAAGTAGAGCGATGCTCACCATAATCTTAATAGTTACTGAGACAATAATATCCCAGCAAAGCTGCTAAAAACAACAATATGCAAATAGCATATTCAAATTATATTTACATTATACAGCTCAAATAATGCACATTTTTGTATGGAATAATTAAACTAATAGCTTTATGTTTTTATTTTTTTCAAAAACCATCAGGAATGCCTCGCAGTCAAAGGACACAGTCAAATTTGTTGTCAATAAAAGTGTATTTTGAACCTAGAATATGAATTTGAAGTCAACTGTAAATGCATTTTGTGTCCATTGTAACTTTTTTAGAGCCAGAAAGAGGATGTTTAGAGTTGTCTCTTGCTTGAGAACATTTACAGATAGCAATCCAAACCCGTCAAGGTATTTCTGCACCATTTTGTGTCTCCAATGAACGTGTGAACTATTCGAGCATTCCTTAAATTACTGAACATCACTAAACTCAGAATGTGTCTCAATCCAGCTCATGTATCTCCTGGAGTGGGAGGCCCGTGGAGACTGATGGACAGCCTCGTCTGGCTGATGTTGGCATGTGGTGTGTCTGAAGAAAGTGATCTTGTCCCTGCAGTCAGCATCTTTGCTCTTTCTCATAAATGTTTCAATTGCTCGGCAGATGTGCAGTTAATAAATTATGCAAGGATCCTAAATGCCTCTTGAGCACAACCTGAGGACGGAGTCCAAGGATATTGTGTTGCAGTGTCATGTAACTACACTACACATTTTGTTCCTAAGATAGATTGAAAGTGATTGTAGTGTTTGCGAAGGCATGCAATGTGGTTGCTAGGGTGTTGCTATGTGGTTTCTAGGGTGGTTGCTACAGGCCTAAGCCCAAAAGAGCCCACTCCCAAGTGTCTGTGATATTATGGATTCTAGATATGGCTCAGTTTTCCTTGTTCAATGTAAGTCTATGGGATTCATGCCTGCATTCTCCACCAAGTTTTTATGCTGCCCAAATTCTTGCCAAACTACACCTTTCCTCAATAAACCATCCAATCTGAGGTACAGTTTTATTCATGTTTGGAGCAGAAACAGTCATGCTTGCAACATAGCAGGGCAAGGCTAGTCTTAGCAAGCAGCGCTAATGAATATGAATACAAAAACGGGAATCAAAGAACATTTTCTCTACATAATTCATCCTTCTTTTGTCTGACAACACGTTGACTGCAGAGATCAAGTGTTAGGGTAGTACAAAATGTGGTCAAGAATTTGCAGTAATTTGCAACTAACCTTCTGCCTTAGGCTGTAATTAATATTACACACACCACTAACGGAGAATGCTCCACAGGATCAGCCAATTACTAAATCACCCCAAGGAACTTTCGCCGTCCAAAAGTGTCGGAATTACATAAACATGAATTGTTTTCTTCCGAAAGCCATTTGCGTCAAAAATCTGAAATGAATCCCTAAGGCTGTGCAGAATAGTATAAAATATGTGAATCAAATCCATAGAAGTGTTATTAGCAAACACGCCGGTTAACACCACACTGTAATGTTTACTAACACAAGTGCTAGCGACAGATCGACTGTTTGTTGTAGTTTAGCATAATTCACATATCGGCTCTGCAGCTGGCTTGTGAAAAGATTGCTCAAGAGACCCGGGATAATGCAGCTCTGCTAACCTTTGACCTCTCCACCATAACACAGCTGGGACCTTTGACATCCAGACGCCTCTCCGGAATGACACCTTATTATGGCCTCAGTTGTCTGTTTGGCTTATAATCGTCATTAGATGAGCACAAAAGCAGTGCATGTTTTACAACTAAAAAGTAAACGTTAAATATTAAGAGAGATACAGTGGTGTGAAAAAGTGTTGGCCCCTTTCCTGATTTCTTATTTTTTTGCATGTTTGTCACACTATAATGTTTCAGATCATCAAACAAATTTAAATATTAGTCCATATGCACAGATTTTGTCCTCATCCTTTCTTATTTTTCTGCCCTGAAACTGGTTTTCAAAGATTGTAATTGAGGAAACTACAGTAGGTAGGACGGTTTCAAATCCCACCCATTCTCTACGTACATTTGTCAGACACTAGGTGGCGCTATAATGATCAGATTTAGCGTTTCACTAATTACTCTGGAACCGTGTGAGCTAGAATCAATTCTTTGATATCTCCTTTGAATCTGTTGGTCATTGTCGGTTTTAAAATGTTACTGCTATTTTGAATTTTTGGGAAAATATACTTTTCAAACTGGTCCTCTTCTACACCGTTTATCCACTTTGCACAGAATTTGATGTGTTTCATCTGTAGACCATCATAACACATATTTACCTGAATAATTTTGATTCGTCATTTCATTTAGCATCGATACATCATTTCGTTTCGCACATCAATTTCATAAGCCACTAAATTTGGGTTATCAGCCATTTCGACAATGACATATAAAGCAAGCTTCTAAAATATCTACAAAACTTATTGCCATGATACTAGTTATGAGTGGTTTTTAGGGGCTTTTCTGCCAGTTTTATCATCTATTTGTCAAAAATCTTGAAAAACTACTACTCCTACGTATGAATAACAGTAATAGTACTGATAATAACAACGTCCACTTTTCATGATTCAATCCAATTCAGGAGGATAAAACTCCATCCTACATTATCACTCAGAAATACAACACATTATGGATGTTAACTGCTTTCTGAAGACTGTCATTTCATTCTCTCTTCAAGTGATTACAGTTCTAGCTACTCCATATATATTATTCCTCTTTTCTACCTCTTTATTCCTCTCTCCTTTTTTCTCTACAGCATAGCCTTGTCCTCCTGTTCAGAGTGTGCTCTCATTTTCTCGAAACCCTTCCAACCTCCAGCGCAGCTCTCCCTTCACCTGTTCCTGTTCTTGTCTGACAGAGAAGAATGAGCTGTGTGCAGCCCTGTCAGATCATGCAGCCACTTCCCGTACATGCCACCTTGCAGTTTGCAGTCAGGTCTCTCTGCTTCTGTAAACCATCTTCCCCTGCAGAGCTACTCATATCGACTACACCAGGGGTTTGCAGTCAGCTAAACCCCCTAGAGCCAAAATGATTTACCTATACACCCTTTTAAAATATATATTATAAAATGATTTTAAATATTTAAAAAAAATGCAACATATTTGCATGTTTAATTGTGAAAATTTGTTGATCTTCCATAATAGTAATAATAATTATTATTGTTATTATTATTATTATTATAATAATTATTACTATTTGTTATTTCTAATACAAAATAATTTCCTAATAATATAAATTATTAATTTAATTACTAACAGCAGCATAAACAACACATAATGATAATAATAATAATAATATAAATTATTAATATTAAAATAAATAAAACTTAAAACTAAAACTAAAAACTAAAATAAAGTGACAAAATATAAAATAAAAATATAATAAAAAACATTAACAATAATAATATATTTTTTCAAAATATGCTATTTTAGTATATTAAGTTTAATAAAAATGCATTTGCATGTTTAAGTGTGAACATTTGTTGATCTTCTATAATAATAATAATTTAAAATATGATATTTTTTTAGTAAATTAAGTTTATTTACCTTGGCACTGGGATTTTTATTACAAATTCCTACAGTTTTCTGATTGGGAAACAAAAAACCGATAGCATCTGATCGAGACACTAAATAAAATTTTGGCGGACATTGTAAGTCTTCATCGTGCTAATAATCGTATTCATTGGTTTTACATAAAGGGTCAAAGGCATAACCCTCAGAAGAAATGCTTGCATTAGATTTATATCCAATTTTGGCCGTCTGCATAAATTCGAGTGCACTTCTAGAGCTGCAGGGGGCTCCTTTAAAATGTCCTTGCCCTCTTTTGTCCCGACCCCGACCTCTCTTAATCCACTTACCAATCTCGCAGCTCTCTCCCGAATAGCCCTGAGGGCAAAGACAACTGTATCCCTCCCCCTCGGTCAAACAGCTCCCACCATGCAGGCACGGGTTGGTCAGGCAGGGATCATCTTCTGTTGTAGAGAGAGAACGAAAAGAAAACATCCAGATTTAAAATACGATTTATAGCCCGATTCGAACCTAAATTTCCAAGGCTCAATCAATGTTTACATATAATGCAGCATGTATGTGCACCCAACCCAAGTTTGGGCCTCTTTCATTAAACACGACCAAAAATCTTCCACTTTTCAGACTGAAAACGTAGAGAAGCCTGAGCATATGACTTTCAACAAGGTGAGAGATTAGCACAAGTTTGATGTCATCCCCCGTTCATCATGACAGATGCTCCGCAGTGAAGGACAATGCGATTCCCTATGTCCGCCTCTGATGATCCCTGGCCTTCATAAATTATCCGATCATTGCCTAGAGTAGCGGTGCACACTTTTGTCTATTTTTATTGCACATTACCATACCGTTCTCAGGTCATAAACACACTTTATTTCAGTGAGCTCCGACTCTTGAAAAACCTGTACGGTGAAATGTTTTGGGGTGTGGTGATGTATGGAAAATTTTCACAGATTAAGTCATAATTGCATCAATTTACAGACAGGGAACCTTTACAAGGACGTCGGCATACGACTTGCACTGGAAATTGATTAAGTGCTGCTTTATAATCCGTTTCCAGCCACGAAACGCAATCTGACAGTGCATCAAACACACCACGTCTCCTCCGGTATAATTCCAAACGCGCAATTATTTACAGCAGGGGAGATAAATCGCAACACGGCCTCGCAACACACGCAGTGTGCATTCGACTTCCCACATCTTATCGAGTTTTACTTTGTTACAGGCTCTTCCTTGTCTGTTTTGACAGCTTGTTTTATTTCTCTCTTCTAACGAATCTTTCTTGAAGCACACATTCCCTTAAGAAAACAAAACATACACATGCAATGATACACAAGCAAAGTATCAAAGCAGATTAAAGGCAAGGTTTGCAGTTGTGCTCTGTAGCTACTCTATTGCTGTTGCATTTGTCTTCTATTTATTTGTATTTCCAGACAGCATTCAGCTCAGCTCACCATGCTGAAAAAAATCAGTGTGAAATCCCATGCTGGTTCATGCTGGATTATGATTGTCAGTGCTGCTAGCACTTAATAAAAAAATAAAAAAATAAATAAAATAAAATAATAAACTAATAAATTGCTTGAATCATATTGATAAATGTATGTTTTTATGTATTGTATCAGATCACATTTTTTCCAGTGTATTTACAATATTTGAAACTTTTCAGTTTTGCTTTGTGGTAGTTAAAAACTGTTTTAACAGGAACAAAATGAAACCAGGTTATAAATAATATAAATACATTACAAATGTAGAGATGTACATTAAATATTTAAAATAATGTAACAAGAAACATTATGAATATAATTATAATAAACATTGTTATAAAACATTAGTCACAAATTACAAATATAAATTAATATATATTATGAAGAATATTATTAATAATAATAATATATTTCTACATTTTGAATATGTATGACCTTGTTTGTTGCCCTTTTTGTCAATGAAACCATTCTGAACATTATATATATATACTGTATGTATACAGTGGGGAAAAAAAGTATTTAGTCAGCCACCAATTGTGCAAGTTCTCCCACTTAAAAAGATGAGAGAGTAATTCTCATCATAGGTATACCTCAACTATGAGAGACAAAATGAGGGAAAAAAATCCAGAAAATCACATATATATATATATATATATATATATATATACAGTATATCCACACAGTATATATAATTACATATATACATATATATATATATACAATTGTTATTATTACTATAAATTACTATAAATTTATAACTTTCTTTTTGTCCAACAAGAAACTACTTTAAGGTTCTAAATATAAATGTAAATATATAGAAAATAGACTAGAACAATATTTATAATGTATATTATAAATTATTATGATATTCATATATTACGGCCTGGTTTCACAGACACAGCTTAGATTAGCCAGGTTTAAGCCATAGTTCAATTAAAATACATTTAAATAACATTTATAAACGTGCCTTAGAAGAAAAAAAAACATTACTGGAGTGCATCTTGAGACAAATCAATGACACTTACATATTTAAAATATGTCAGTGCACGTTTCTTTCAGTTAAAACAGCTTAGACATGTATTTTAGTCTGCGACTAGGCTTAAGCCTTGATAAGAAATAAGAAGCTTGATTTGATTGACACTAGGAAACCAGATTCCAAAACACAACAAGTGCTGGTCTTTTCAACAGGGTGGTTGACAGCAGACATCAAAACGTATCAAACCCATTTCGTTTTATACATAAATTATTCATTTTTGAAACTGGCTCAAGGCCTCGCCCACATTGCTAAGTGACAAAAATGAAACCAAAACTACATCAAAATCACATATACACAAAAACGACAGACAAAGAACTCCATGAAGGACAAACTTTGAAAGTCGGACACAGTGAATATTTCCCATTTTGCAGTCAATTGTTCTTTTAGTCCAAAGACAACAGACAGCAGAAACTGACAAATATATGACACATGAGTGACTGCTGCTTCATAGCGAGAAAGAGCAGATAAACATTCCCCCGCTCTCTCATGAGCTCTCAAAGCCGGCTCGGCTCAGCGAGAGGCAGCTGGGCTATTGTGAATTCTCCACATGGGGCACGATGACATAAAGATCTGCATTGACCAATTTTAATGAATGCCACCCGGACCGGAGACTCCTCTTGCACACAACTCCACGAGAGCGACAAAGTTCAAGAACTCCTCGTCATCATCTTGATGAAATAAAACTCTTCAGCGCCCACTCGAGAGCTTTTTCATCCCAAATCCCGTCAAACGGATCGTTTTCTGAGAGGATGGAGAGCTCTTGTCGCTAAGCTGGGAACGGTGCAGGGGAAAAAGACATTCATGTCCCAAACAATTAGTCACGACATAGGCCATTTCCTGCACAGATCGCTAGTCCCGACGGAGATCGCTTCCCTAAACTGTGGATAATGTGGAAATACCTCAGTAGGTGGTTTGAGGCGTAAATGCATCTGGTTATTCAGGCCACATGTATAAGCTTTACTCATCCCAAACTGAATTACGCTAGCATGGAAAATTTAGGAGTTTTGCAATGCACAAGTCAGCAAGCAATATTGGACAGAGTAACCTAGACACTCGAATACTAAGTTAAAATAGGACAAGAAGAACACTTACGGGAAAGATTTGCGGATTAGCAGATTGGATCTAGATCCATTTTCCAAGTGTAAATGGAATGTGCACACCCAATCAGATAGTTATATGATTGATCAAGGCACATTAAGATATACCATATCGAATCCGCTGTTTTCTGTTCCCATTCCCGCTCGCTTTCATCCCTGTGCTATTTCTGTCAATAAAAAGTGGCAATGAGAATGATAAAAAAAATAGTTAAAAACCATAAAAAAAGAATAAAAATAAATAAAAAATAGTAAAAAAAAGTGTCAACTATTAAAATAATAAATAAATTGATGATAATAATAATAATAATTCAAATCACTGTTTCTGTTAATAAAAAGTGACAATGAAAACGATAAAAACAGTAATTAAAAACAGAAACAAAATAAAGAAATAATTAAAATAACAAACAATACATTTTTTATAAAATAGTAAAAAATATATTGATTGAATGATGATTAAGTATAATAATAATGATGATAATAATAATAATTAAACTGTTTATAAAATGGTAATAAAACTGTTTCTGTCAATAAAGAGAAAATAATGAAAACAATAATTAAATACTGTGACAAAAATAAAATATAATCAGTTAAATTAAAAATTAATTAAAATAAAATAAAAAATAGCACAAAAGTGGCAAAATGAAAATAAAATTAAATTTGGAATGTTATTAAAACAGTAAAATGATAAAGTGACAATAAAATTATAAATACATTAATTAAAATAAAATTCTTATTAACTTAAAAATAATGAAAATAAAAACAGTAGAATGTGACAAAGGTGAAAATAAATGTATAATTAAAAAAAGAAAATACTACTACTACTACTAATAATAATAAATCGATTTTGCAAGTTTAAACAGATGCATGTAAAAGTGTAAATAAAATTACTGGAGTATGTTTTCAATAAAATACTATTTCATTATTTCTACTTCAAAATTTCATATTTAATTTAATGTTACTTGCTGTTCTTTGTAATTAATTGTGAAATTTACTAGCAATTTCTGAGTGAAAATTGTTTCTACACCAATTTTTCTTGTGTAGTGATCTGATCAATCAAGACGCATGAAGTGACTTTTTACGTCTGGTGAACGAGTAGGAGGGAGGATAAACAACCACAACAATGAAAACAATGGAACAGGGATGAAAGCAATAGCAGTTAAAAGCCTTTTCTGTTTCGTGCCGTTGGCTTATGATTAATTACACAGCAAGCTTAAAATAGTTCCTTCTTCCCCAATTCCGTCTCTTTCTATTTCTCCATGACTTTCTCACTTAGGTCCATGCACTGTTTGCGGTCTCAGTGGACCCTAAACAGAGCTCATCTTGAGATGGAAATGACTGCACAGACAATCAACACTACAAACAATATAAGTGGATAATAGTAATTTGTCATGAGAAACACTTGATTACAAAAAGAGCTTCGATACATCAAGTGCCTATATCGCAACTTCTACCAAACAGCAACTGATCTGCACAGCTTTTTTGAGGAATCAATCAAAAAGACTCCCAAATGAGTCAACTCATGAGTCACTCGTTTGAGCGACAAGCGCTAACCCACAAACACATTATGTACTGAACCAAACAGAAACAAAAACAAGTCTGCTAGTAAAAATTGCCAGATTTAACAGCAAGAGGAGCGACTGACCTCCAAAGCAGATGCCGAACCATTAAAATGTGATCTTTTTTTATTCAGACGCTATCTCTCAAAAACACAGTCCGTGGCCATGAGGGACAGTCTCCAGGAAAATAAAATACTAATACAGTGCTTCACCGCCTCAACTCTTAAGTGTACAGTCTCCCTTCTCTCATAAACAAGCTGTTTATGATGCTACGCC